GACCCCCCCCCCCCCCCCAGTCGCGATCCGAATAAGAAGATGAAAAGTAAATTTGCGGAAATGCTGTTTAATGTTTAAGATTCACTCGAGTGTAGGAGTATTAAATTATTGCGAAAAAAAAGCAGAAGCACTCGAGGAGGAGCAGCCCCTGAGAAGAAGCTGCGGAAGAAGCCCGAAGTCGTAAAGGGGTTGGTCTCCGGCAGTCGGATCAAATAAATGCTGTCTTGATCGGCAGAGCAAACACGTCCGCTTTCGCGAAGAAAAAAAAAGGAGGGAAGAAGAGAAGGGAAAACAGGGCGGTTCCTTGCGAGAGTCACCGTTCGCGAGACCGTAGTCTCTTATCCGTTCCAGATTTGCCCGCCACTCGTTTCTCTCTCCCATTTTATTCGTGCCGGTCCTTCCTCGCCGACAAGGGCGGCAGAGTCTGCAAATTCAATCTTACCAGCGACTTCTACCGACCTACACAGTTTGTTCCGCCTATTGATTCCGAGTCCGTTCTCCGGCTTACCTTCGCCGGACCTTCGTCGGCTTCGCTTCATGGAAACCGACCCCCGGCGCGGCCAGCGAACGGAGCCACAAAAGGTCAGATTCTGGAAGCAGCCCAATTTTTCGCGAAAGGAAACTTCGTCCGAACATAATCCTTCCCGTTTTTCCCAATTCGCCGGGGACAGTCCGTCCACGGGATACCTGGAAACTCGCGTTGTAATCTCCGACGAGAATTTAACCTATGAAGAGAGAGAACTCGTCTAGCTGGCTGAAACAATCGATATTTTAGTTACGGAAACGAATATGATAAATATCTGCAGAATTACGTTGATCGCTAGGTTTAGGCTCGTCGTACGCTTATACTTTTCTACCTAAAATTTAATATTCTTTCGAAAACAATGCATTGTGCAAATATAGCGAATACGACGTCGCCACCTCCCCCTTGAAATTCTATAACTTTTTTATTAAAAAACTTTTAATTAGACGCATAATTTCAAAGTTATTCGGGGTAGTTCGTGCAATTTGTGCAATTCATTCTTTGTGCATTGGAAATATTTGATTTATATATGTTCCGAATATGTCGTAAAGTATTTTGTCGAAATAAATTACCGACAAGCGAAAAGCGATATTTTTTATTTGTTTAAGCGCGTGATAACGTTAACTTCTTACTGTGAAAAATATCCCCATTGTGAAACGAGTTGTATAAAAGTTAAATTCCCGGTATACGGGATAAAAGAAATTCCGAAAAATTGCTGCAATTTTCGCGCATCGACTTGTTTTTGCCGCGAAAGAAACTCCGGAATTTGGCATCGGCGCAGTCTTAATCCTCTTTAACTTATTAATGCGCATTTCGTATCCGAATGCGTATAGCCGTGATTATTTCTCGGACGACTGTCGGAAATCCCCAGCGTGGAGGAGCGTATTCCCGAATATTCATAGTTCAAAGCGAACTTTCTGATGACTTGGCGCGGTGGCAGCGCGGCTGCGAAGAGATTGTTGTTCCGCGGTGAGAATTATCTTTCGCGCACCGAGATCGATCAATGATACAGAAGCGGTTCGTTAGGATGGAGTGACGTTAACGAAATTCGTAGCATCTTATCGCAGCATCCGCGTCTTCGACTCGCAGAATGCGTGGAGCAACTCGTGCAACAACCCCCAGCGTTCCGCGAAGATCTGATTCCGGCAAAGTGCTGGTAACAGTGAGATCAAAGGAGGATGCGGATATTCATGGTACCGGGGCCATGGTTGCCCGACCCGTGCAAAGTGCAAATGCCACCGCCATGGATGCACATAAACGGTAATCCACGTGCAATGTGATTAATAATAATTTGCCGGTCGGCATAAGCGGAACCGATTAGTCGGCTTAGCCAAGCGTTATGGTAATTGGGAGCTATTACTCGCAGAGTGCTCTCTCCCTCGTCCCCTTTCTCTTCTCTCAATTTCTCACCTCTCTCTCTCTCCCCCTCTCTCTCTCTTTCTCTCTTTCTCTTATCACTCTCTTTCTCTCTCACACACACTCTCTTTCTCCTCTCACTTATTTTCTCTCTGCCCCGCTCTGCCGCACATTCTTTTTCTCTCGCTCAGTCTCTGCCTCCTCTCACCGATTCTCTCTCTCTTTCTCTCTATTTTCCTTCCACTCATCCATCCTCACCACACTCTCTCTCTCTCTCTCTCTCTCTCTCTCTCTCTCTCTCTGTCACTCTGTCACTGGACTAAATGACTTGAATTTGGTTTAAATGGTTAAAAGACTAGCCTACCAAAAGGCTAGACAATAGCTAAAGTAATTTTTTTCAATTTTATTATTATTTAGAACGACAAAAAAATAAAAAAACTCACGTTCTTTTTAACTTTTTTATTCGACCTGAGCGTATGTCGAAAATTTGAACGATACGTTTTGTAGATCTCGCTCAATGAAATCAGTTAGCGCATAGTCAAGCTACAGGGTTCGAAGA